ATTATATAGCCATTAAAAATAAAATAGGTCCTCTGGGTATGTACTGTGATAAGTTCTTCACAAAATAATGGTAAAGAACACCATCCAGACTGTGATGTTGTCTTTGTAAAAACAAAGACATCTACGCATGATCAGATAGATGTAGATAGCCACTTTGCTAAGAACTAGAATATATTTAAGCTGTTACAGTGGATTACCAAGATATCGAGAATGAATTTTTTGAAATGGAAATGGAAGCAGGGGAGAGGGAAGAGAAGTTGTTAACCTTTTCATTTATTTACATACATACTGTTTGGAAGTTTATTCATAAGCATAATTAATGCCAAAATTAATCTTGGCATTAGAAATGTCTCTCTCTGCATATCTGGTAGCTGGGTGCTCTATTCCGCAAGGGAACATAATGGCAATCAGTGAAATAGTGCATAAGACAAGTATTCCTCCACCTGGACAAACCCATTTAAAAATCACAATATAAACTGTCTCACACATGTAAACATCACCTGTCACATGCCACAGATTACAGGAAGAGATAAACATGAATCCAAGGCTGTTCTATGACAGAAATCATTACATCTTGTTTGAGGAACTGATAGGAACAGAGGAAGGAAACATGTATAGCTTTAAAAGATGCTGAACGTTTGGGGACCAGCAGTTAGCATAATGGCTATGTCACTGGACTCCCACGTAGTTGACCGTGGTTCACATCCTGGACCCAGTGGCTTAAACTCACGCTGGGTGCGTGTGTGTGCGTGCCCAAGATCCCAAGAGGAGAATGGAGGAGAAGGAATTGTGGCGTGGCCATCCCCCCTGGGGGATGATTTCTCGCTTTCTATCTCTCTGTCTCTCTCTGTCTGTCTGGTGAGCGCACACGTCCTATAGAAAAAACCTCTCAAAAAAAGAAAGAAAGAAAGAAAGAAAGAAAGAAAGAAAGAAAGAAAGAAAGAAAGAAAGAAAGAAAGAAAAGATTCTGAGCGTTTGTAGATACTTTCATCATAATGCTGGAAAGACACATTACTGATGTGTCACAATACCTCGTGTCTTAGATATTGATCGTCCTTCTTCTGCCTTCCTTATTAAAGGTTCTGTCTAAACACAGAAGAGAATCATTTCACAGACATGAGTCCATTAACTAATAAACACATTTGTATTGAAAACTAATATGTGGGGGTGGTGAAGACAAAGAGAGTAAGAGCCAAGAATCACCTCAAGAAATTTATAATGTGCCAGGGAAGCTAAGATGTGTACACAGACTCTGGAGTGTAGCATGAACAGTGCTTCAAACTACACTAGGACTTCAGAGTAGCGTGGTTGGATGATCCTTCTAAAAGGAGGTGTTAGTTTTCTACTTTGTTTTCTTTTAGAATAGGATAAGTATGAACATCATTGTAAACAGAGAAATGTTAGTATAGAGAAGTGATGAAAAGGTAAGTGAGAGGATGGATAGTTCATCAGGGATGCTTTGGAAGAAGCAGGGAGAGAGCCCAGGAGAGGTGGACCTTGAGAGGGAGAGAAAGGTATTATCCAAAGTATATAAAAGGAGGAAGAGGGCCTAATAGTGAGGCAGAGATGCTCTGAGGTGAAGGGAATGGAGACTGAGGAATCTGCTTGTATCAGCTTGACTTTATCAGTCTAGTGAGATGCTACTTTATAGACAAAGAATGGAAGAGTCATGGTAGGCTTGAGGGTTGTGGAAAGATTTGGAATAGCCACTGTGAAGCCCATAAATCAACCAGGAATGACTAAAAGGATTGTGGAGCATTATTGAGGTGCCAGCTATGGCTAAGTTGCATGAATTTTTAATGAAACATTAAAAACATTATTTTTTATTACTTTCTCCAACAGTGTGGCAGCCAGGCACAGGGGCATAAAAACTCAGCTTGGCTAGAATGGATGGACTATAGAAATCAAACAATTCTTGGGGCCAACAGTTGGCCTAATGGCTATGTCGCTGTACTCCCATGTAGTTGACCGTGGTTCTAGTCCTGGACTCAGTGGCTTAAACTCACACCAGGCACATGTGTGTGCATGCCCAAGATCCTGAGAGAAGAATGTAGGAGAAGGGAAGGTGGCATGGCTATCCCCCCTGGGGGGTGATTTCTTACTTTCTGTCTCTCTGTCTCTCTGTCTTTCTGGCAAGCACATGTGCCCTATAGTAAAAACCTCTAAAAAAAAGAAAGAAAGAAATCAAACAATTCTTATATTTAAAGCTGTGTATGAAAACGCATTTAAACACCCAACGAAAAATCAGAATGCATGTGCATCTGAGGTGAGCCTAGCCCTGCCCCTTTAACTGAAAAGCCTCTGCCCCAAACCTCTCCTTACAGCCCAACACTCAGTGAAAAGCCAGGTAGGGTAGTCTCTGTCTTTTTTCTTTTGCACGGCATGTTAGCATGCCACATGGTTCTCATTTTTTTGCCTTTATAAAAAATTTTTCTTCCCTTTTCATTGTTTTGTTTTGTCTTCTTTTTTTTTCATCCTTTTCCTTTTGTTTATTTTCTTTTACCTGACTTTCTCACCTTGCTTCTCTCCTTCCACACACTGAGTGTCTAAGCAGGTCTAGGTGCACAGTAGCAAACCAACTGAATATTTTTAGGGTCATAGAAAACTTCAACCCCCACTGAACTGCTACAGAGAGGGAGAAACTCATCTTTATAAATCTAAATTCATATTCCTTTCTGGGGATACCACATTGCAAAATACAGTAGTAGAGGAGAAATAGGCATAGAAGTACCTCACAGTAAAGTGAAGCTTAGGAGCTTACAGTAGCAGAAATCTCCAACAAATTAGTCAAATGTGAATATACCAACAAATGACTAAAAATCAGAAAACAGAGACTGCAAAGTGAGCAGCTGGGAGAAATACGGAGCTGTAGTGAGTGCAGCTCATCTCCTCCCATACACCTTTGAATTCTTAGTTGAAATCCCACAGCTCAGCCCAGGTGCACCATTCCCTTGAAACTGTGAGGCCTTTGTAATATCCAGTTCCACTGACAAATGTGTAGACTGCCTGATGAGGATCAGAGAAATGAAACTGCAGAAATATTGCAGGTCATCTCCTTCTGCACATGCCTCTAGCACTCAGAATTCACTCCAAGAAGGCAGGGAATAACATAATCCATCAGATGACCAGAAACCACTGCAGAGGCACAAGAAATATGGGAAATCAAGAAAATATCTCTCCCCCAAGGGTAAGAACAGCCCTTCATCATCCATAGAAAGTACAATGGAACTTGTGGAAATGTCAGATAAAGAATTTAGGATATTCATAGTGACAAAGCTAACAGAGATGCAAAAGAAGAAAGAGAACGAACTCCAGAAAATGTAGGAGAAAAGACACAATGAGTTCCAGGAGGCAAGGAAGTTCTTTCACAATCTGAAAGAGGAAATACATACCAAAAAAGGAATCAAATGTAACTGTTAGAGATGAAGACTGTAATGCAGGAAATCAAAACCTCCCCTGAAAGTATTAAAAGCAGATTAGATCATGCAGAAGATCGAATCTGAAATGTAGAAGACAGAACCTCTGATCTAGAAAAATTCACCAAAAAGACTGAGAAAATAGCCCCCCAAAATAAGAATAATATGAGTAATACTAGATACCATTAGACAACCAAACATCTAGATCATTGGTATCCCAAAATGTGAAGAAACTAGTAAGAGCTTTGTTAATCTAGTCCATGAAATCCTGGAAGAAAACGTTCCAAACCTAGAGAGCCGCTCAAATATCCAGACCCAAAAAATACAAAGGACCCCACATAGAATCAACCCAGTAAGATCTTCTCCAAGGCACATCATAGCCAGATTGACACTGTAAATTCAACAAAAGAGAGATTACACAAGACTGAATTGCTGAAATAGAATTTTATGACTTTTTTCTAAAGCATTACTGATTTTCTTCTCTGCTTAGTCTTCCAGATTTAAGGATTTTTGTTTTGTTTTGAGTTTTTGATAGTTTCAGCAATTTCTTAAAAAACGATTTTGAAATATAAACTTTTCTCCCTTTGTGACCCCTTTGCAATTGGAAAATGTGAGCATTCTTATTTTGTGGCAAAAGTTTAATAATATAATAGTATCTGTTGCCTTTCATCAGAAATTGAATTCTTATGGGGCTTTGTGCAAATAACAGGCCAAATTGAGATAAATCATTTTTTTTTTTTTTTTTTTGCAAATAAGTTAGTTTATACCTCTCTTTAGTAAAAGGGAGAATGGAGAGAGAAAAAATGTTTCAGAAGAAAATTAAAATGCACTTGTCACTAAATTCTAGCTTTGTACATACTTTAAGATCTTTTGTGAATCAACAAAAATGTGGGAGGGGGATTTATTATGTAAGGGAGGGAAGTGAAAGGGGAAGAAAAAAACTGGTAAAAGTATGCTTAACTGACAAAAATAAGAAGCTATTTGCTAGTGATAATGTGTATAGTAATATCTTTGTCTTGACTGACATGCAAGGTATTTGTGTTGGAAAAAGAAATGTATACTGTAAAGACATGTAATTAAATGTAAATAAATTTTAAAAATGTATAATAAAAAAATCCCCCCAAAAAAGAAAATGCATTGGAAATTAGTCGAGTTATTTCATCATTACAGATTTTACTTTGTTAATCTCTGTCTTTCCCCTTCCTTTTATAATCAAATCAGATAACTATATTTCTGCAAAGAATATCCTGTTTTTCAAATGTTAACTAACCAAGTAATTCCATTAGAACTTCTTTTCTTTTAAAGAATTATTTTACTTAATTTCATTTATTATTCATTTATTTCATATTAATTTGACCAAAGAGCGACAGAGTGAGAGAAAGCGAGAGAGAGAGAGAGAGAGAGAGAGAGAGAGGAGGAGGGGGAGGAAAGTGAGAAAGCAAGTCGCCACGTCCACAACTTGAACTGTGGTTGGCCATGTGGGAGTCCAGTGCCCTTAACCACCACACCACCTACTGACCCCTCTGTTAGAATTTCTAAAGTTACTAGCTCATCATTCTTTCTTACACATTATGTATTTTTTAGGTTGGAGAAACTAGTAACATCCTTTTTGGAAGACCAGGATCCAGAGAGTAGACTAGAGGTTGGTGCTGACATGCGTAAAATTCATCACTGCTTTCATCACTTAAAGGTAAATTTAAATATTTCCTCCAGGAGAAGTCATTTTCTGCCATGTTTAAACTGCAATTAAAACTTTTCTAGTTGACCAACCCTAGGTAGATTAGGACCCAGCTTCACACATACTGAAAATGTTGTGATCGTCAAACCAGTGCTGTAGTTATCACTGACTCTCTTGAAAGGTTGTATCTTACTTGCCAATAAACAAGCTTAGACCATGGTCTTCTAATTCTTTTGCCAGGAAGTTCTACTTTCTACAGAGCAGTTCCTTTTCAAAAAGTCATTCATTTTCAAACTATGTCAAGAGAATTGTGTCCTATTTTTTCAGCAGTTATTGATTTATGTCTAGAACTTGTGAGTATTTTCCTCTGCCTTAGGTTTTATTTTTATGTTGAAGGAGTGGGACTGTCATTGGCTTTTACTTGTACTTTCCTTGTATTTTTACATACTTCATTATGATAATAAACTTGTATTGTAAGTCTACTATAGGTCAGGCAGAGGGAAGACAAAATTAAATCAGAAAGTCATAGAGAAGATATATATGTTTAAAAAATACATGATAAGGGACCAGCAGTTAGCATAATGGCTATGTCGCTGGACTCCCATGTAGTCGACCATGGTTCAAGTCCTGGACCCGGCAGCTTAAACTCACGCCGGGCACGTGTGCATGCGTGCCCAAGATCCCAAGAGGAGAATGGAGGAGAAGGGATTGCGGCGTGGCCATCCCCCCTGGGGGGTGATTTCTCGCTTTCTATCTCTCTTTCTCTCTCTGTCTGTCTGGCGAGCGCAAGCGCCCTCTAGCGAAAACCATTCAAAAAAAAAAAAAACCATGATAATTCAAGTGTAAATCAAGTGGCATGGTGTTATGGAAAAAGGGAAAGGACTCTAAGAGGATATAGTGTTTGAATAAGTATTTCCCAACTTAGGGCAGGAGAAATGAGATAGGGAGAGGGGAATGAGGAAGGAGGATGGGAAAGAAGGCAGATGGTAGAATAGGGAAGACCTCCCAAGTATAAAAAGCAACTGCATTGCAAAGACAAGGACTTGTGCCTGAAGGGTGCAGAGAACTGTTGAAGGAAAAAGAGTCAAAGAAATAAAGAAATTGGGAAAAGAAACATGGATACCAAGCTCTTGTTTATATCATCTTACAGAAACTACTGAATGACAAGAACATCTCTGGAAAGAGTATAGCTTCCTCTGAAATCAAAAATCAAGAGTGCCAAGAAGCTTTAAAAGGGGAAGAATACAAAAAGCTACAAGATGTCTTAAAGCAGAGAGATAATGAAATCAGTATCCTTTCTAAGGGGATGAGAAAGTCTCCCTCTACTACCCTGAGAGCGGTGGTGGGACCAATGAGCTGTCTTTCCCTTTTAAAGCTTTTATTTCCTTAGCCACATCACAACGCCTACTCTGCTTCCAGTTCATATTGCTTCTTTCCACTCAAAAGTAAAATGTTCCTTCAGCTAACAGAAGGTAGCCACTAGTGAAAATCTTAGTTGTTATTAAGGAGAAACATTTACTTTGCTTTTAGCAAGACTCAGTTACTATTGCAGGGAACATTCCAATTTACTAAAAAGTATGGGCTTTCTTATACTGTCTCTTAACATAACATTTTTAAAAATATTTTTTACTACTCTGCAGTGTTCTTTCCGTTTTAGTTCTGAGCCAGTAAGTTAGCTGGTTATCTTTAGCTAACTGACCGGACACTGGACTGACCACAACCTCACTATGGCCCAGAATTTGTGGCTGGTGTGTGGGTGAAACTCAAATGATGGCTGAAAAATGACAAATGGTCCTTAGCTTAAGAAGAACAGAGATTTATTTAAATGTAACTTTAAATTTAAAAGCCAGATCTACTGCTTTGAGTTCCACTTAGAAATGTTCCTGAAGTTGGAAGTGAGTGCTGATGAGTGTTCAAGATAGAACTCATTGGCTCCAGGAGGCCGTGTATTTCAGGTGCTAAAGTTGGTGGCAGCCCACGGGAGCATGCACTGCCTCCAGTTACAGGCTAAGTGGTTACTTCTAAAGAGCCCATGTTGGCTTGGTTAGCCCTCAGGACTCCCCAGTATTTCTTCAGTTTTGTTTCTCATTTTCTTTCAAGCATCTCATAAAAAGACTTGACATTTTCATTACTTTCACAGATTGCAAACATGTACAAGTCATTTTGGTCAGTTCTTTATAAACAGATATTTTCGTTCAGTTTTTTTAAAAAAAAAATCACTTCAACTATTGTGCAAAGTGCATAAAAACAGTCTACATGATGGAAATTCAATAATAAAGAGATAAAAACAAACTGAACTGGGGTAGACATGCTGCCTGATTAGCTCCAGTTTCTAATTTTAGTTGAGTATGAGCAGACCCTATGTGTCAGATTCAGGTGTGTGTTAGCTGTGGTGTTACTGAGCCAGTGACAGTGGTTTCAGCTGTGAATTACCCCCACACACGAGCCCTTGTCTACGAGAGCTGCCCACAAGTGTCGTCACCTCTGCATTCCTTTTACTCTTACCCCATCCATCTCTAAGGATGGTCCCTGCCTAGACCTCAGTCCTGGCCCCAGCTCCAGTCTGATCTCTGCTTTGTTTTCTGGCCATGATCCTAATCTAGGATCGTCTCCCTAAATACTCCTACCAACTTCTTAATCCCCTTCTGGGCTTATGAATGTCTGTGAATATAGGAGGGATAAAATGAGATATGACAGACAGGGAACAGTTCAGGCTTGTTCAGATATGTTTATTTTTAAAAGAGAGTGAAAGAGACATACGTCATCTCCTTTCTTCCCGCTGTCCTTGTGGGGCTACACTCAATTCTTTACTAAGAGTAATTCAAACAGGATTCCCCGCCATCTGACATTGATATTTAAAATGATACTGTGTAAGGGGTCATGGTGAAAATAACACTGAACTTACATTCCTACCTGACTGAAATCCTAGTTCTCCATTTATTGGCTCTGTAACTACTCGATGAAGCTGTTTCTTCCTTCCCAGGGCGAGGAGCATAAGAGCTGCCCAACCTCGCTGTTCTGAGCAAAGCCAGCAGGGCTTGGGCACAATGGAGCATTATATAATGGAAGCTGTTGACTATGGAGACACTAGCTAAATTCAGCTGAAAAATAGCAGCTAAGATTTCATCTCAAAGCATATGTTTATCAAAGGCTAATGACCAAGAAAGGCTCCTGCAATTTCACAGTCATTCAGTCAGGTTGAAGGATATTTTCATATTTGTTCTTTATAGGACCAGGAAAGCTAAGACTGTGACAAGAGAAATGAGAAAGATACAGCTTCCGAGGGTGGGGGCCAGGTAATTTGGGGGACCAGCAGATGGCATAATGGTTATGTCACTGAACTCCCATGTAGTCAACCGCGGTTCAAGTCCCAAACCCAATAGTTTAAAACTCATGCTGGGTGTGTGTGCATGTGTGCCCAGAATCCCATGGGGAGAATGGAGAGAAGGGATTGAAGTATGGCCATCCCCCTAGTGGTTGATTTCTTGCTTTCTGTCTTTCTGTCTCTCTCTCTGTCTTTCCAGCAAGCACTCATGCCATATAACAAAAATCTCTCTTTTTTTAAAAAAGTAATAATTTTAAAAAGTCATTTAAAAAAAGTAATTTTACTTGAGCTCAACAAAAGATAGTAATGCAACCAAATGACCATGAATGACATTGAACATTCTTGGAAAGGGAATAAAAATAGTGTCTTTCCAGGGACTTCATCAGTTTGAGTAAAGTTCAGATGCTCCTTCATAAAACAAGTAGCAGAGCATTTCAGTCCCCAGTGTAGCACTTGGCACAAAGGCCTGAGTTAAACGGGCTGGGGAGGGAAGAAGACAAAAAAGACGGAAGGAAGGCAGCAAATAAGACAAATTTGTACTATGATCTTAGAGAACTGTAAATCAGAAGCTGTTCTTTCTCTAATTAAAATCTTTAGGGGCTTCCCACTTAGAATAAAATCCAAATCTGACTTCCAAGGCCCTCCTTGATCTAGCCCCTGTCCACTCACTCCTGATTTCATTTCTTATGCCTCATCACCTGAGTACATGCTTCAGCCACAGTGAGCTTATTCTGTTCTTTGTCAAGTTTACTTGCTTATTTCTTTCATGAAAGAAGAGAGAGAGAAGGAGAAAGAAAGAGAAGGAGAAGGAAAAGGAGAAAGAGAGGGGGATAGGCACCCCCAACAGGCTTCACACCACCACTAATCCTAGGCTCAGGGAGCCCAGGTCATGAGCACATGCATACACCTGGCATGCTCAAGGAGACCCTCGGGTGGATTCATGCAGGTCTGCTTGTGCTGCTGTACCACCCCCAGCTTCTCTCATTATTCTTCTGACACAAGGTTTCTCAGCTTTGGCATTCTTGATATTCTTTGTTGTGGGGCTGTCCTGTGCCTTGTAGGAGTGTAGCATTGGAAACCATTGCCAAGCCCATTTCTCTTTAGGGATTTAGTCACTTCCTCTGCTTAGATGTTCTTCCTCTAGGGACCAGCAGATGGTGTAATGGTTACATTGCTGGACTCCCACATATTTGACCACAGTTTGAGTCCAGGACCCAGCGCTTAAAACTCATGCTGGGTGCATGTGCATGCATGCCCAAGTTCCTGAGAGGAAAATGGAAGAGAAGGAATTATGTTGTGGCCATCCCCCGTAAGGAGGGTTATTTCTTGCTTTCTCTGTCTCTGTCCCTCTCCATCTCTCTAGTGAGTGTGCACACCCTACAGAGGAAAAAAAAAAAAACTCTAAAAAAAAAGTTCTTCCTCTAGACAGTTCTTGACATTTAGATCTCTGCTTAAATGTTACTTTTAGAAAGGCCTTTTGGGGGGCCAGCAGGAGTAAGTTGGTTAAGACAGCTGGATCCCACATGGCTGGCTGCAGCAATTACAGTCCTAGACCCAGTATCTTAAAAAACCTACTCAGTACATGCACATGTGCCCAAAATCCCAAGAGGAAAAATGAAGGAGAGGGATTGCAGTGTGATCATCACCCATAGGTGTATTATCTCACTTCCCCTCCTACTGGATAGGACAAAGATCTTTGAGAGTTCTCAGCATGTTAAATCCGGAATGCACAGTGAAGTAGGATAGAATGAAGTGGTTTTGTTAGGTTGGTGCAAAAGCAATTGTGGTTTGAGACTATGAATCTTGAATAATTATAACTTGGTTCAAATACATCTTCATGAATCAAAATAGAAATCATTATAATCAACACATTTTTAAATAAACTTGTTAATTCCTGAGCATAAAAATCTGTGCTTGGGGATTCAATAAACTTTTGGAAAGCACTTCTGCATCCTGCTGGTTGTGGAAAGCATTTTTCCAGCAAAAAGTTGTGGAGATGCTTGAAGAAATGGTAGGTGGTTGGCAAGAGGTCAGGTGAATATGGCATATTAGGCTAAACTTTGTAACCTGATTCATTCAACTTTTGAAACATTGGTTATGCAACATGTAGTAGGGCGTTGTCATGGAGAATTGGGCCCTTTCTGTTGACCATTAGTAGGAGTTGCAGTTTTTGGTGCATCTCATTGATTTGCTGAGCATACTTCTCAGATGTAATGTTTCACCAGGATTCTGAAAGTTTTAGTGGATCAAACCCCAGCAGTGACCATGACCTTTTTTTGGTGTGAGTTTGGCTCTAGGAAGTGCTTTAGAACGTCTTCTCAGTCCAACCACTGAAATAGTCATCACCAATTGTTACATAAATTCCACTTTTTGTCTCATGTCACCATCAAATTGAGAAGTGGTTTGTTGCTGCATAGAGTAAGTGAAGATAACACTTCAAAATGACAGTATTTTTTATTTTCAGTCAGTTCACTAGGTACCCACTTATGGAGCTTTTTCAAAACCTTTCCAGTTTGCTTCAAATGCCAAGTGATCATAAAATGTTTGACATTGAGTTCTTCGGCAACTTCTCATGTAGTTGGAAGAGGATCGGCTTCTGTGATTCTTCTCAATTGGTTGTTGTCAACTTTCGATGGCCGGATGCTGTGCTCCTCATCTTAAAGGCTCTTGTCTCTTTTGCAAAACTTTTTGAACCATCACTGCACTGTACATTGATTAGCAGTTCCTGGGTCAAATTCTCAGCTTTGGCATTCTTGATATTCTTTGTTGTGGGGCTGTCCTGTGCCTTGTAGGAGTGTAGCATTGGAAACCATTGCCAAGCCCATTTCTCTTTAGGGATTTAGTTTGTGGCCATCCCCCGTAAGGAGGGTTATTTCTTGCTTTCTCTGTCTCTGTCCCTCTCCGTCTCTCTAGTGAGTGTTCACACCCTACAGAGAAAAAAAAAAAACATCTCTCTAGTGAGTGTGCACACCCTACAGAGGAAAAAAAAAAAAAACTCTAAAAAAAAAGTTCTTCCTCTAGACAGTTCTTGACATTTAGATCTCTGCTTAAATGTTACTTTTAGAAAGGCCTTTTGGGGGGCCAGCAGGAGTAAGTTGGTTAAGACAGCTGGATCCCACATGGCTGGCTGCAGCAATTACAGTCCTAGACCCAGTATCTTAAAAAACCTACTCAGTACATGCACATGTGCCCAAAATCCCAAGAGGAAAAATGAAGGAGAGGGATTGCAGTGTGATCATCACCCATAGGTGTATTATCTCACTTCCCCTCCTACTGGATAGGACAAAGATCTTTGAGAGTTCTCAGCATGTTAAATCCGGAATGCACAGTGAAGTAGGATAGAATGAAGTGGTTTTGTTAGGTTGGTGCAAAAGCAATTGTGGTTTGAGACTATGAATCTTGAATAATTATAACTTGGTTCAAATACATCTTCATGAATCAAAATAGAAATCATTATAATCAACACATTTTTAAATAAACTTGTTAATTCCTGAGCATAAAAATCTGTGCTTGGGGATTCAATAAACTTTTGGAAAGCACTTCTGCATCCTGCTGGTTGTGGAAAGCATTTTTCCAGCAAAAAGTTGTGGAGATGCTTGAAGAAATGGTAGGTGGTTGGCAAGAGGTCAGGTGAATATGGCATATTAGGCTAAACTTTGTAACCTGATTCATTCAACTTTTGAAACATTGGTTATGCAACATGTAGTAGGGCGTTGTCATGGAGAATTGGGCCCTTTCTGTTGACCATTAGTAGGAGTTGCAGTTTTTGGTGCATCTCATTGATTTGCTGAGCATACTTCTCAGATGTAATGTTTCACCAGGATTCTGAAAGTTTTAGTGGATCAAACCCCAGCAGTGACCATGACCTTTTTTTGGTGTGAGTTTGGCTCTAGGAAGTGCTTTAGAACGTCTTCTCAGTCCAACCACTGAAATAGTCATCACCAATTGTTACATAAATTCCACTTTTTGTCTCATGTCACCATCAAATTGAGAAGTGGTTTGTTGCTGCATAGAGTAAGTGAAGATAACACTTCAAAATGACAGTATTTTTTATTTTCAGTCAGTTCACTAGGTACCCACTTATGGAGCTTTTTCAAAACCTTTCCAGTTTGCTTCAAATGCCAAGTGATCATAAAATGTTTGACATTGAGTTCTTCGGCAACTTCTCATGTAGTTGGAAGAGGATCGGCTTCTGTGATTCTTCTCAATTGGTTGTTGTCAACTTTCGATGGCCGGATGCTGTGCTCCTCATCTTAAAGGCTCTTGTCTCTTTTGCAAAACTTTTTGAACCATCACTGCACTGTACATTGATTAGCAGTTCCTGGGTCAAATGCGTTGTTGATTTTGCAAATTGTCTCTGCTCCTTTGTGATCTATTTTGAACTTGAATAAAAAAATCACTCAGATTTGCTTTTTGACTAACATTTCCATAGTCTAAAACACATATAAAATAAACAAGTTATTAACAGAAGAAAATAGAGTGATGAATGTGCATTAAAATGATGTATAACATAACCACATTTATTTAAGAATGTGTCCAGTATCAGACAGCAAATTTCAACAATGGAAAGCCACAATTACTCTTGCATCAACTATCACTTGTCATTAGTGTCCCTGGCATACCTCAGTGACCCACGAAAGGTGTATTTGAAAATGATAGGTCTATATGCTCATCATTTCTTCTGTTCCCTTCAAGAGCAAAAAAATGGAAACTCAAAAGCAACTTTCAGTCCCCTTCTCGATGTGCTCTAAACAAGCATGATGGACGTGGGGGTGCTCTGGCTGTATAGTCATTACCACGCTGGACACCAGGATTGTTCCGGCCTTTCTGCCAGCTGGGTGGTTCTCACCTTTCCCCTTCTCTTGCTGCCTCCCTTCCAAACACCGCAGGGGGTGTTCTTCCCAGACAAAGGACTTGTTTACTCACAGATATATATGTATCTCCATTGCCTGCTATTTGGTCTTCATTTTACTTCTTATAAACATTTTCATAAAAATTTTTAAGACCTAGCTGGCTTAAACTCAGACCATTTTAAAGACCTTTAGTTTACTATTTTTTCATAAAATGGTGCCATATTAGAAGACTAACAGCCTCCTAAATTGTCCATAACTGTAGATAGAGCCTTGGGAAGTTGCAGTCTTCCTCTAGTCAGTCTTTACTACCTGAAAAATAGCAAATATTATGGAGAAAATGCATCACATTTGGAAAATTTGTGTTTTGACTATTATAATCTAGTATGAATCATTAAATCCTTAAGTCAAGTGTCAGATATTCTGGTCAACATGTTAAAAAAGGAGAAGAAGAAAGCTCAGGATGCTCTCCACTTATCTAGCATGGATAGGAGTGATTTCAGACACTCCCCGAGCTCACCCTTCCCCCCTGGGGCACCGGAAGGTCGGAGGACATTGGTCTCCTCACCACCCGTGCAGGTCCCGGACTTCAGCACTTTTGGACACAGATCCAGTTTGCTTCACAAGAAATCAGGTCAGTTAACTAAATGTCTAGTATTCCTCATTGTCTATATCTATTTCGGTATAGCATCCTTTAGATTTAAATATGAGAGGATGAAGCTTCTAATAATGTATTCATTAGAATTATTTTTCATAACTCTCAAATCTCTTAAATTAAATTCCACCTTCCCAAATTGAGATGTACTATGGTAGATGAGTCTAGGGTAAGTATAGAAAACTTAACTTGAAAGGGAACAAAAACCTTCCTCTGATATAGCAAGGATAGAATAAAGTCAGCTGTCCTAAAACTGATGTGATGATGCTGGGTTTATTTTGAAATCAAATTGAGTTATCTGCAGTAAAATAATTTTTAAAAGTAGTTTCATGATCTTAATAGATAATAAATTAGCAAAACTTTATCAGATAATAGGATCTGACAGGCATGGGCCAACTCTGAATCACCTGCCCCATTTCTAGCTTCTGATTTCTGTCAGTGCCACTGCTCCAAACTGTGCTAGTAGCCAAGGGTTTGTGTACGTTTCTCTTTCTGTTGAATAAGCAGAGGATGTACGGTCACATGACTGATGCCTTTCCATTGAAGATACAGGAATCTGATGTATGGGATGTGCTGGAACAAAAGAGTGAAGAGCTTCTTTTTTTTGGCAACATAAGTTGAGATTTTCAGTATAAATATTAGATTGTCAGGAAAGTCATGATCTATTTTTTCTGTGCAAAAATGCATTATGACTTTTCCAACAACGCAATATTTATTGGGATGCATTTCTAAAGAATTAGCCTGGGAGTAATGAAAGAGTACAATGTTAAGCACACTTTTTTAGTTAATACAAACAATATTGAGAATAATATATTGAGAATAAATATTTTGTGATATTAATGTTCTTGAATCTCATGATTCCAAATCTTGGTTTGAATATTTCTTGAGCAACATAGTAGAATTCACTCAGAATTCTAGGAAACCATTGTCATTATGATGACAAAAGCTTACATTGTCCTTATATATACCAAGTACTATTCAGAGTTCTCTATTTGAATTCACTTTTTAATCCTATCATATGAGATAAATTCTCATTTACCCCTATACTATAGATGAAGGCACACATGGACGACATAGCCTCTGACCTCAGGGTCTTCAAACATTGATATAGAAGATACCCACTGAAAAATCGACTACCAAAGTTCACCTGTATATTACTGAGCAAGCACATACCAGGAACTCTACCTCCAGTTAAGACCAGAAAGATCCAAAGGGAAGAATGAGGGTGGATCTGTTAGAAGCTTTGTTGCAAGCAGAAGGAATCAACTGTGTAAACAGCATCCAGGGAATTTTTGGTGAAAAGGAGCATTTTAGAAAGAGAAAAAGGCAGATATGATTGAACTAGGGGATTGAGAAGCTGAGAAAGCAGTTGATTAACATGTGCAAAACAGATGGAAGCGGACACCAAGACTTCATGACTAGTTAGGAGGCCATTATAGTAGTCCAGACCAAAGAAAGGGGATGAAAAAAAGGTGGGGGGGGGGTGCACCAGAATTTAGGAAATTAAGTGGATGGGTGTCAGTGGCTGATTGGATGTGGGGATAAGGGTGAGAATTGTCTCTGGGTGGCTGGTGAGGCTCTCCACAGAGATAAGGAAGAGTTGGTCCCTCCCCAGGCCCTACAACAACTAGTATTGTTGACTTTACAGATTTGACATCTCTGCTGAAATGAAAGGTTGCAATCAGTACCCATGTTAGAATCCCACGGCTCATGTTTACTGGCCTCTTCCAAAGACACATACTAATGTTCCCATGCAGAAATGGCTTCAGATATCACTATCCAACCCTTGCTGTGTGACAGACTTTTTCTATTTCTTCTTGACCACACCATCTCCCTCCTCATAATTCTTTTTCTCCCAGCATCTCATAATCTTTCTCCTCCCTTATAATTATGGTTCATTTTTTTCAGTAACTCTTTTTCTCCCTTGATATTGCTATCAAGATAAACTCTAGTTGTTTGGAGAATGATTTAAGTTTATATGAATTTTGAAAAATCACTGGGAAAATAATGGAAATTGTTTATAAAGTCCAAGTACAAATAAGATAAAAGTTTTGGAGAAGAGTCTTATATTTGAAAGGGTTTTTGAGTTGTTTTAACTGTCATTGGATATAGTGATAGAAATAACATTAAATAAGAGTGGGCTCACAAATGGACTGATACTGATCTAACCGTGTGAGGGAGGGATTGATGGGGAATTGATTTTATTTTTTGGCGGAACTACAAATAAGATGAAAATTGTGGTAGATGAATCGGGGCTACAAAGCAACAGGTAATGGCATAATTCATTACAATGTTTAAGATTATGGAGCTGATTAGGCTTTTATTATTGGATTGTTTTGTATGTAAGAAGCTTGTATAAACTACGACTAATACAAAAAAATTACTAAGTAGGATGTTCTGAAAGTATTTCTGCCTTATGTAGGTATTGTCAGTTTCTATTAACAATCCCTGGGTCTGTTTTTAATACAAAAAGTAAGTAAATCTAACCATCTCTGAAACGGCTGTGAAACTGCTTCCCCTTTGATGATTCTCCCCCCTTCTTTCATTCACTTCTTCTTCATGCTGAAAACAACTCCCTTCAAATTAGAAAATGAAACTGAGTTCATGGTTCACTCAAGAGCCCTGCGGAGTCATTGCACAAGCTGCCTGCCAAGGCAAGGAAAGTTAGGGGCTCGGGGACTTTCTGTTGTTGTTTTGGAGGCTGAATGTCTGTTTTAGCTTCTTTGAAATAATGAGAAGGATTGTTCCGCTCACTGTTTGAAAAGAGTCATATTGTTCTTTTTAAAATAGGAAGAGTTTTAAAGTTGGATTTGTTGCTTTTTTTTCTGTTTTAATTCTCTGACTGAGCATTGCACATAGTAACCTGGAACCAGTCATTATTCCAAAAGCCTAGATGATTCATCACATCCTTTAACTGTTTAAGATGCTAACAGAACCCACTCACTCATCACAGGTGATGCCATTGGCATTTAAAAGGTGCATTGAAAGCCAAAACTGCAACCTGAAGGGGGCAGGCCCTTTTCTCTTACTGTGTGAGAATCTGTTGAACATGCCTATGTTCATGGAGAAGCCCAGAGTTCATGTTGTAGAAGGTACCAAGGCAAACTAATAAATTATGTCTGACTTGAGAGCTTTTAAATAGTAGAAGTTGCTTTGTACCCAAAGAACAGAGAATAAAATAACAAGTTCTCAAACAGGAGTGGAAAGAAATGCTGTAGAAAGAAATAACTTTAATCAGTAGATGGAGAAAAGCACTACAGACAAGATAACATGGAAGTTAGGTCTCAAGAGATTAGTAGAATTAGGGCCTTTCAAGGATGAAGGGAAGAACATTTCATAACATTCCAGTCTTAAAGAATAATGTGAATATGTGTGTTTTCTTTTGGGAAATGTCTATTCATGTCCCTTGCCCATTTTAAAGTAAGATTATTTTCTTTCTATAAAGTTGTTTAAGTCCCTTATACATTTGGATATTAACCTTTTATCACATGTAGCTTATAGTTTGTAATAAATACTGCTCTCAATTCATAGGTTGTCTCTTCACTCTGTTAAGTGTTCTTTATGTTGTGCAGAGACTTCTTAATTTCATGTAATCCCATTTGTCTTTTTTGTTGTTGTTCATTTCAAGAGGGCACGTGTGGTTGCCAAAGATAGGCTGGCGGGGGGGGGGGGGGGGGGGA